CACCCTTTTCCTCCCCCTCCCTCCTCTTTTCTCATCTTTTTTGGGCACACCACACATACATCCATGGCTGGCTTCCACTTGAACTAGCCCTTGGTAGCTACATCAAGCTTAAAAGGTAATAGTTTCCACTAGGCACTGTAACTGCTCTTCATTGGGTTCTTAGAACTGTGTTTTGTATAGTATTTCTGGACTCTGTTTCCTCCCACTGCCTTTTGCTTTTGACTGAGGATCCCATATCAGTGTTGGAAAGTGTAGAGAAAGATCACATGTGTATGTCCCCCCACCCTGGACCCTTCAGTATAATAATTCATTTCAATGAGTCTTATGTAGGAGAACATCCATACCGAATTGGACCACAGACTGGTGTTGTTTTTTTTAAATCTTAAAGATGGAAAGCCCCAAAGTTATTCTCGAAGGGTCTCTCAGAAAACTGTATCTTCCATTTTGAGGTTGAGGGAAATCACTCACCTCATAGACATTGAATTGGCTTTGTCCTCGGGCCAGTTCTCGATAGCTGGTTGTAAACTCCCCAATGAAATCATGGCTGTTGGTAGAAAAGAGATTCTGTGAGAAATATAGAATTTCTAAATGTTTACGTTTGTATTTCTCTTTTCTTCCTTCCTAGGGACAAGGTGGTGTACATGGGATTCACATGAAGTCTCCCATCAGAGGTAGACCTGTTCTTTTTCCACAAGGCTACTGCATCAAGTGCCTCCAAACCATGTCTTGGCCCAGAAAAGAGGCTCTCCTTTGTTTTCTTTTCTGGATGAGTACCTTTTCTAACTGAATAATATAAAGAAACCCACCAAATAAATAAGACACCTTTCCCTTTCTCCATCTGCGAATCTTTGCATTACTAGGAGGAGGGGTTTAGAGCAATACATACAGCTACATCTGTTGAGCGTCTGTTTACAAGCTGTGGTTCTACAGGAGCCATTTTTTTACAAGCCTTCAATGTCTTCCAAAAATATTAAAGCATACAACAGGCCTACAAACTCCTGCACAATTTCTTATGTTTTAGTTCAACTGTTACCAGCCAGAAAAAATTTAAAGACTTTTTTAAAAAATAAGAGTTTGAATGCCACTCACCTGCCATCCCGGTCCCAGTCATACACTTCAACTTTTATAGTTCTGAAAAATATGACAATAAAGGTCACTCTCAAAACAAGTTGCTTTTTCTACTGTTACTATCTAACCTTCTTTCTTTCTGTAGAAACCATTTGCAAGAAAATGTCAAGCTGTACATAAGAGATAAAATTCAGCCTCCAAAGAAAAACCTGGGCAAATGAGAAGCCAAGGTAGGATTTTATATATGTTTGTGTAGATTTCTCTATATTTACAAAACGTGTCAGGGATTTTTAAATTAAACATCTAATTGCTCCTCATTGGCTTTTCCTGCTTAATTTTGGGGGGAGTATTGGTGCAGCCCCTTTTCTTTTGGTTCTGGAGCTGCGAGCAAAATGCTTTGAATACTTCTAGAGAAACTATCTATATCCTATCTTAATTACCCTCAGGAAGCCTTCTACAGTTTGAACCATCATTAATCGGGAAGGCTACAGTGACAACGTCTGTGAACTTCGGTTTCGTATCAGTTAACCTGGACAGCTAAAGGCAATTGTAGCTGACAATGCTGCCAGGTGAACTCAGTGTTCCTAGGAAGACTATGGAAGTGGCCATGATCCTATCCCTCCCCCTTACCTCCTAATTGTGTCAGACTGTTGTCAAGAAATGCCCCTGGCTAGCTGGCTTTTAAAATTCCTGTTAGAGGAATGACAGTGATTAATTTGCCTGTGGCTCCCTGTATGTTGATGGGTGACATTTGAATTCTCAGGGGAGTGAGGAGAAAAGTCGGTTCATGCTTTTGAGTTCCAGTTGGAGCTCATTTGCAGAGCCTGTGCCACATCCCCAGTGACCTTTGGAATTGCTTTCTAATTTTTTTCAGTGCATCTGCAAACCAGCCAGTTTGCCATCCAAATTATTGCTCCGGCCAGTGAGTTGCAGAAAATGAAGAGGTTATAAAATATGCAAACAAGCTGGCTAAAGAAGACTGACCCCAATTTTTTTAAATATAAAGATTACAGTCAGAGTTACTATTCCTGAAAGCCATAGAAAGGATAGGCAGCCCAACAAGTATATAGCTCCAGAAATATGAAAAACACTCATTAAGATGAAAGAACTACTGGCAGCCAGGGCTATTTTTGGGCAGAAACACACAGGAATGGAGTTCCGGCTGGCTTCAGAGTTGGCCACGCCCACTACAGCCAAAAATTCTGCGTGCCTGGCTACAAAGGGAAGGCCTGGACAGCAAACCCCGCCAGCGACTCCGAGGCGGGTGGGCCAGGGGGGACCTGGAAGGATTGGGGAGGCATTTAAATGCCTCCCTGTGCCTTCCCCGGCCTGTCCAAGGGCCAGCTTGCCCAGGCTACCCGCAGCTGCGGGGTATCCAGGCAAGCCAAGGCAAGGCAGTTTAAACTGCCTCCCCTCCCCTCCAAAGGCCTGCTTGCCTGGGCGCCCCGCAGCTGAAGGGCACCACTGCCTTCCCTTCCCTTCCCATGGGGGGGGGCTTGCCTGGGCTCCCCGCAGCCACGGGCTCCCGGGCAAGCCAAGGGAAGGCATAGGTGTGGCCTAATATGCTAATTAGCTTGTGCTATTGGGTGTGGTCTATTATTCTAATGAGTTCCTGTTGGGCTTTTTCTGCAAAAAAAAAAGCCCTGCTGGCAGCTACACATTTAACAAAGTGTTCAATAGGCTCAAGAAGATCAGCAAACTGATAGATGCATCTTCTATGAATTAGAAACAGAACTCACAAAAAAACCCAGCCACCCATAATCAGAAGACTAGTGCCATATTACATTCATAGCCACACTCAGAAGTAGCAAGGAGACCACACCAGCCAATATGATCTGAGGATGAGGGTTGCACTCGTATCAAGAAGCCAAGCAGCAGGTGTATTCCCATGTGACAAAGGGGAGTCTGTCAATCAGCATGGCTTATGAATGGTTTGGCTCAGATTGGATGTTGGCATGGGAAGATTACTAGCCCTTCAGGATCATTTAAACAGCTGTGCCGAGTTTAAGATTTTGCCCAGAACTAATGACTTCTCCCCACAAGCAATGGATGTGTTCCAAAGAATCTGCTCAAAGATGATGACATTCCTACTTCTGCCAAAAGGAGCTGGAGGAAAAGGTAAAAGAGTGTTTCATAAAAGACAAAAATCTGTACTGATCTTGTAGGTCCACAGCAAGTCAGAGAGGGGAAGCTAGGAAATGGAACTTCACAAAAAGGTGATGTTAAAGGAGATGATATGGCAGTAGCAGGAGCAAAGGTATTTATATAAGGGCAGTGCCTTGCTGGTTACAAATAGATGACACATGTCACTCAATAAATAACTTAGGCCGCGGTCACACGGAGCAGTAGCCACGCAAGAGAGATGGAAGACCGGCGGAGTTTCCGGGCGCGATCTTACCGGCACATCTGGGAAGCGTAGTGCTTCCGCGGCACAACCGAGGCTTCCCTTCGAAGCTGCGCAGCAAAAAACTAGTACCTTGGAGGTACTAGTTTCCGGAAACTGCGGGGCAAGGGCGGGCGTCTGATCGCGTTTCCGGTGGCATCCGGCGCCCGCCCATGTCCCCTTGCAAATAAGGTATTTTTTTTTGTCCAAGTCTCTGTGGATGCGCATGCGCACCCAACGGAACATGCGCATTTGTCATGTACACAAAAATAAAAAACAGTTTGCCGCGGCGCGCGCTTCTTCGTTGCGCGCCGGCTTGTCCTGTGATCGGCACCTCTCCCTTGCCATGGAACCTCCACGGTACCGCCACAGGACCTCCACAGGAGGTCTGATCGCGTAACTGCGCAGTAGTTTGCCCCAGGGCAAACAGCCACGCTTCTCCTCTGCAGTTTCCTGCCCGTGTGACCGGGGCCTTAGATGTTTTTCCAGTTCCAAATGCAATTCCAGGCATGAACTCAATGCTCCTTAGGCAGGTCTGCTGAATCCAAAACATATGGATGCTTCATAGTGTACGGGACTGAAGATTAAGATTACCAAGCAAATCTTGGCAATATTCAGCAATAGATTTATTTTCTTGGAGATATGCAAATACTTTAAATACTTGTTTCACTGGTTCAGGCATTTGCTGAACCAGGAAAATGCAGATTTTGCAATCATCTTTTCATCTAACACTGCTTACATGCAGTTCCTTTGCTGTTCCATGGCTTCTAAAGAGAAGAAGAAGAAGAGATTGGATTTATATCCCGCCCTTCACTACCCAAAGGCGTCTCAGAGCGGCATTACAATCTCCTTCCCCTTCCCACAACAGACACCCTGTGAGGTAGGTGGGGCTGAGAGAGCTCTTTTGAGGACAGCTTGTGAGAGAACAGCTCTAAGAGAAGTAGATAAAAGGAAGTACTTCTTCACCCAAAGACTGATTAACACATGGAATTCACTGCCACAGGAAGTGGTGGCGGCTACAAGCATAGACGGCTTCAAAAGGGAATTAGATAAGCATATGGAGCAGAGGTCCATCAGTTGCTATTAGCCACAAGGTATAGATAGGGGCTCTGGGGCAAGTGATGCTCTGTCTTCTTGGTGCTTAGGGGGGTCAACAGTGGGAGGGCTTCTAATGTCCTGGCCCCACTGGTGAACCTCCTGATGGCACTGGTATTTCTGGCCACTGTGTGATACAGAGTGTTGGACTGGATGGGCCTTTGGCCTGATCCAACATTGGCGTCTTTTATGTTCTTATGTTAACAGCTCTAAGAGAACTTGTGACTGACCCAAGGTCACACCAGCAGCTGCATTTGGAGGAGTGGGGAATCAAACCTGGTTCTCCCAGATTAGAGTCTGCACTCCTAATCACTACATGAAACTGGCAGAAGCAGTCCTTTCCCCAGCATTTGCAAAAAATATCAAGGGATTTGACTCTGACCTCAGTAGGTGTCCTACTTAATTGACCATGGGTATTGCTCATCGATTGCAGAGCCTGACTGGGGCAGTGCTGATAATCTCTTGTATGGGGATGGGGCATACACTGCTTTGATTTGCTAGGTAGGATAGGAGGGAGTGCTTGGACAGATGATCAGTACTTATATCATCTGGAAGGGTAGCTGGACAATTTCAGGCAATTGTGAATTAAAGCCCTCACAGGGAAAATACAAAAGTATCTCTAACATGCTACTTTGGAACATGCTGATTTGAACGTATCTCACAAATCTGGAATTGGGGTGGGGTTGGAAGACAGTTTATGTATATGTACCTAATTGGAGAGAATCAGCAGTAAACCCTGGAGGCTATTGACAGTGGAGACTGGAACACTATAGTGACAGGGCAGAGAATCTGAAAGGATTCTAGGCCCTGTTACAGGCATCTTCAGTTTCTCACACCAGCGCAAATACCTCTTCTTTATATGATCAGTGTCTGTAGCTATCAGGTTCCCCAGCTACCATTTAAACCACTGGACAAGGAAAAGGTTAATTTTTAAAGCACACTTTCAATCAGGAAACAGAATGAGTGGAAGACTGCGTTGTCTCGATTGGTGACTAGCTTGGTCCCAGTGTCACATGTTTCCATGGCAACTAAAGCTAAAAATATACTGCCTAAAAATGGGGGGGGGAAGGCCCACGCAGCAGTCAAAACAAACTAATTAAAGAACCAGTGCAGGAATCACAAAGATAATGAAAAAAGTCATTTTAATCATTTGTTTGGACTTGTTCAGAAGCAGATGAACAAGTTAAAAGATGGAAGAAAATAATGTGTTTCAGAGATAGAAAGCCAGAATTTTCACCCACTAGTATGGAAAGGGGGCTTGGTTGGAAAAGGGGTTCTTTAAATCATGTTTCCATGTGAATATGCTCAGATGAAGAATTACTTTTGGAGTGGCTTTTCTATCTGATACTGGCTCAGGGTTAAGATGCATAATATATACGAAATTTCCACAGAAATACATGGGGTAGAAGACTGGGATCAAGCACCCATATACTTCAGAATTCAGATAATCATACTACAGAATATAATTGCACCCCCTCAAAAAACACTTTGCTTTAGCAAATTGTCAAAGGGGGGGGGGTCTGCTTACGCCTGTACTCATCTCTGTGACATAACACATCAAATGCTATAAGGACAGAAGATCCAA